CCAGGATAATTGCAGCAGAATTATTATATGCCACAGTATTTCTCCCTTGTCTCCACAATTTGCTAGCTCGGGCTTTCTAGCTCCATGCCCTTGTGTTTAACAACCTGGGGGAGGGGTTACTGCCCTTTGTGATGTCATGAAGGGAAAATCTCCAAATGGCCTGTTTGAGCACACATTTTCTAAAAAGTGGAGCATGCAAAAGACAGAGAGGATGGACTTCACTCATAATTTGGGGGGTTTGTAGACAGACTAGGGACACATACAAATGTTAGAAAAAAATGGTAAAAGTGTATTTTGCACAATATGTGGCCTTTAAATGTTGTAGTTTTAGTTTTATAAACCATCGAATTAGTATTCATATAATCCAACTATAACACATACTAAGAATGTTTTCTATGTATTTTATACAAAAAGATGTTTGAATAACATTAAGTTGCATTGCTCACGTTTGAAAGAGATCGAAAGCTCTTTTGAATGGTATGAATTTGACTAGTTTTGCGATATCGAGTATGTAACTGTCTGTCGTACATCACAACATGTTTACTATAATAAGAAAAGAGCAAAATGTTGTAGACATGAAATCAGTCATGAGTGCTTAAAGGTAATCAGATTATGGTGGGGATTTAAAGCCTCAGTGAATGACTTTACTGATTACATTTGTCAGCAGGTGATCTTTTTCGTTGAACAGTCTTCGCCCTGCACAGTGCAGATGTACATGTTGCATAACAGCACAAAGTCACGGGGTCACACTCATAGCTGTGTGAAGTGTACTCACAGGTGAGCATTGCTGAGCAGTGGTCATGAATAATTGTGGGTTTGGATCCGTTTTGATTGTTGGGCAGAGATGCAGAAAGGTGGACGCTTTTTCACACAAAGCTCTTCAAACAAGCTGTGAGCCGCCTCGCTCTCTTCAGCTGTCACAGACATTTGACATTTCAGTGGCCAAGGATGAGCTGCGTGTACATAAAGTGCTCCCTCGTCACCTTTTCCCTTCCGCAGGTCCGACTCCTCACACCACTGGAAGTTGGCTGTCAATCAAATGTTTCCGGGTCATTCAGCATGAAACGATAATGGTCCTCCTGGGCCCTCATATTTTTTTCATGGCTGCCACAGATGTTGTGACTCTTCAAGGGCACATTTTAAGAAATACAGATTAACTGTGGATTAGCACAAGCCCTACAGTACCAAGCATTAAATAAATTGATATTATAGCGTGGGGTAGCTCATTCGTATTTTACTTGAGTCTGCCAAGGACGGTTAGAGAGGGAAAAAAAACAATACATTTTTGCGATTTGACAGCTGCAAAGAAAAGTAAGATAGAGCTTCATGTCAAAGTTTTGGAGGTTGATACATCATTAAAGGTTACATAAATAGGCCCATGTGTAAACATACAACTTAATCAAATAAGGCATGAGGAAAAGTATGATTGTGTTCATAACATGATCGTCTGTGAGACTAATACTTTTTAAATATTAATCTGAGTAACCACGGATAAGATACTCAAATTAGATTTTAGACTTAATATGAACATCAATAAATCAAATAAGACTTATTGGTAGTATCAATACTGGAGGTGTTGCAGTGCTCACTAATACTCAGTGTTTGTGGCACTATTGAATTGTTGAACTTTTTTCTTGCACTCTGTGATGGTTTTAATATGCAAGACTTTTATACAGCGCCAGTCAGAGACCTTGATAAAACATTAAATTGGACCTAATATTTCATGGTTATTATATCAACGCTTACGCTGAACCACTTCCTTTCTAACAAAAAATATAAGCATCTAGATGTGTTGTGCCATCATTTTGTCATAATGTCACCTTTGCAGTCATACGTAACATATTAATAATAAAGATTGATGGATTTTTTAAAAACTTAAAAAATATGTTTTTATTGTCATTATAAAAAGTACAATTAAACCTTGAGTGGCATCTCCGCAAATCTATCCGCGTTAGTAACTCTTCAGATTTTCTCTTCATCTTCATCTCAGGGGTGGAACTAGCTGCAGCTTTAAAGTCTGATTTCCAGCCACCAGTCATTTGATGTATTTTTTGTCCTGGAAGAACTAGCTAATAACTAATAATTCAGCTTGGAATTCTAGTCCCTGCCATAACGAACTTCGTTTTTTAAACTGCAGGATGTGAAGGCTAAAATGTGAATGCTAAGAAAGATACAAAGGATAACACCTTTGCCTGGCTTAAGTGAACATGCCATTTGAAACAGGATACATACAGCTTGCTAATGCTGCAGCTAATTGGGCACAATGCATCCTGGTACATGTAGGCATTGCTGGAATGGTTCAGAACTTAGCTTTATGAGCCGATACAGCTCACAGTTCACAATTATTTTCCTACCATCAACGCAATCTCTCCATTTTTAAGTCTCTCCAGTGTCCTCACCTTGTAAGTCATCCAGAACTTTAAACACTCTGATTCCCAGCAATCGTCATAACAAGTAGGCCCCAAGTTTATGAGACATGCACTTAAGAAATCTGCTGTTGTCATAAGAGAGTAAAGTTTTTCCATTAGCTTGAACAGAGTTATAATGGCTAAATGTTAAGTGTGGGGAGCCAGGAGGTTTTTACTGCTGTCTGCAGAGAGAGGAAAGACGAGACCCTCGACACGAGAGTTATCAAGAAGATCACTCCTTGATCTCATGAAGAAGAATTCTGGTTTGCACACTGCAACACCACGAGAAAGAAACTAGAGGCTTATTCTTCAGTAAAGATTCCTTTTTTATTTTAGGGTTTGAGAAAGTCAAAATTTGACCTCATGTGGGACTGTATCCTCCTGGAAAGTTGAGAGTATGTTCTTATTTTAAGCTGCATGAGGTCACAGAGGGGGGAAATAAACTGTGGTCTAACTGTAAAACCCTAAATGGTCTAACTGGTCCATGACTCCCCCTGCTGTTAAACCTGGATACATGCAGCGGTTAAAATCCCCCTAATACTTCCTTTTATTTATCTACAAGCACAGGAACAAGTTGTAATGCTTTGGGAAATAATGACAAATTAACCATGTTACAAATAATATTTTAATTTTAGCTACACAGACAAAAGCTGCAAATTTAAACAATTACCAATACATCCATTACATTAATAACTTATTTTATTTAGTGAATATAATGTGATTATGATAAGTATCTAGTCGGGTTTATGTCCTGTTCTGAGATCATCAATAATTTCTATTATGCTTTTGCCTACATCTTAAATCTGTTTAATACTGTATTTCTTCATGGATTTAAAGATCATCAACTTTCTATTTCTTGCTGACACATCTTAAGGTTACGGAAATAAATTAAATTCAAACATCTACAAGTCCATGCGAACTCGGCAAAGTCAGCCACTAATGGATATCATAAACCTGAATGGACTTATTGATGAGATTTTTACACAACTACTGATTTCAGGTCCAACAATTTACTTTGAACTTCAACACAAATAGTTCAAGTAATGTTTTGGGCTACTCTTGGTGATATTATTCTATTATTATTAATAAAATAACCCTTTATGGTTTGAAAGCATGCTGATGCAGCGGAGCCATAATGTAATGTTCTTATTTATATGATAAAATCATCATATTTTGGGACGTCATGCTAACTTCTGCTTTATTCAACTTTCATCTCTTCACTCTTGCTGTCTGGATTTATTAACTAGTGTTATGCTGCCACCTATTGGTCACGTCTATGCACGGTAAACACACACACATTACCATAATAAATTATTTACTTACTAGTTTAAAGATCTAAATGCATGTTACAAAAGTTAAAACGTCAGGATTTTATATTTCATGCAACCTAGCCTATATGAATTTAATTAGTTTGCTAACAAAAGCAATGCGGTCATTAAACGCTGCTTAGATAACAATGCAGGCTGTACCAACTTATTTCATTCCACTCAATCAACTCGATATTTAAAGTAACTTAACTATGTACACACAACTTTATTAGCTTATTAGATTTTCTACCAACCAATCAAATCGCACAAGAAGCAAAGGTCAACGTCATCATCACTTACGTCACTATGATGTAATGTGTAGGGAGTTTTTGTAAACATAAAGACAACCTGCAGATTGATTTCTACCAGTCGATTAACATATGAGTAGAGATATATTTGCAGTCTTTCTTTTTCCATTAAACCTTTATCAGCACAAAAATAATGTCTGGGATCTTATAGTCGGGCTCTGTCTTTTCCAGGAGGGGGCTTCAGAGGGGCTTTCCTCCACCACCCCTCCAGTTTTTCTCCTTCAGTTTTGACTTACATGAGGTTAAGTATATCATTATACCCCTCCAGTATCTTTTTTTTCCTTCTTCTATTTATTATCTTCATAAGGTAAAGTATTCTTATACCCTCCACCCTCGTACCCCAGTCAGCTGTTAAATTGGCAAAGACAGGCCGGAAATTAAATTACTGAATAGAAATCCAGTTTAACCAGTTTAATTTAATGAAAAATAGACTCTGGCCTCCCCTTGTCTTGTAGAACTTGTAGATCTTTTAATAACAAGGGTTTGCAAAGTGATTTGACACATGAAGAAACTTAGGCCTACATATGAACAAAGCACAACAGTGAAAAGCCAAGACAACAAAGCAACCCGAGTCAAACACCCAGCCAGCATCAACAAAACCCAAACAATAAAAGAACCCAAACAAAAAAAAAACAGCATCAGCAACCCAAAATTCATTAGACCCAAGCCACATGCTCAAAACTGAAACAAAGAGGAAACATAGGCCTGTAATTTAATCTTTTGTTTAAAGAAACCCAGCTATTGTAAATGTTATTTTTGGCTGATACCGAAAGACAGGGGGGGAGGGGGGGGGAGGGAGGGTGATATTGTTTCCCCCCAGTATTACGTCTGTTATTCTTCTTTTGAGTGAGACTTTGGCGTCCCCATCCGACTTTCTCTAAACCAACAATCAGCTGGGGTGTGGGTGAAAGTCGTCGTTTCCGACAGTGCGTAAACGCATCGTGTTGTTTGGCGCTGAGGTCAGCTGACTCTGAGCTGTCATGTGGCGTTTACAGGCAGACACCGGATCGTAAAGGAGACTTGTGTGAACAACAACATCTCGGTGGTCGTGTGTTGTTCCTGGGTTTTTCTTTGTCCACCTTCACACTCGTCCATCATGGCTTGGACTAAATACCAGCTGTTCCTTGCGGGACTTATGCTTACAACTGGATCCCTCAACACATTATCGGCGAAGTGAGTACATTTAATTCAATGATTGTTTTTACTGATGTCATGTGTGTGTCGTTAAAATTCACTGAAGCATGCCGCTAACAAGCTTATTATTTCGCTTTACACTCGACCTAGTTACTTTACCTTGTTTGCTAATGTAGGTTTTTATTCGCACTTGCACATTTATCTCGTCCTAAATGTGCAGACAGGTTGCATTAGCCTATAGCTTGTTAGCTTTTTTTTTAGCCTTAACCATTACCTTGTGTAAACATCATTATCAAGCTGGAAGTGTAATGTCAAGCTAACTTTACATTTGTCTCTCTTCAGGAAGCTGAATGAGGCTGTTGGGGGGGCAGACACGACGATGTTATTGACACACTGATAAGATAGCAGGCAGGAGGAAATAGTTGTTGTAATGTAATTAGTCTTAAATGGGTTTATCTCAAGTCTAATAACGACAGTTGTCACTAATATACTGACTCTGCAGCTGCATTATTTCAACAGCATGTGCCACAGGTTAGGTCAAAGCATAGTTCAGCAGTCTTTGCACATGGCAGGTAAATATAGTATCTGCTGCAAGAACTGGTCATTGTGTACGTAAGGGCCACAGCAAACTTTAAATCTGCAACGTTGTTTGGTGTTTCATTTATCAGAAAGTAAGAGAATGGGCTGCCAAATCCTCATTGAAAACATTAAACACAACTTTGAATATCTCAGAAACCTGTACAATGTAGTAAAACGTCAAATATGAGAAGCATTAGATGTTGAAAGCGTCTTTTTAATCAATGGTTTGAAGGAGTCATTCATTATCAAAGCTGATACACATCCTGGTTGATAAGTCAAGTAAACAGTCAATTGTTTTCCTTGTTGTCTACATTTTTTGATGATCAATGACTTTTCCCTCTTCTCTGATTAGTGAAAGTTCCCCTTTGATGTTTTTAAAAATAATTTGTTTGAATGACCATCAGGTTCAAATCACAGAAATATTCAGTTTACAGTTAGACTTCATGTAACTGTGAAAACTAAATATTGAAAAGTGGAACTATTAAAATTGTAACAGTGTTTCCCCTAGGTTTACAGCGTTGGGGGGGGGGGAGGGACAAGCTGACATGCCGACACGACGACACAAACACTTGAAGGAGTCTTGGTGTTCATGTGTTACTTTTAATGACAGATGTCCTTTTCTATCGGAAAGGTATCCTTAAATGACTTGTTTCCCTGATTTCCAACTCTATCCACGATCATATCTCTACAATAAAGACACAAAGAGCCCAAAAATAAATCTTTAAAAAAAATCTTTTCACTTGACCTCCAGGGGGTGCGGGCCGCCCCCCCAAAATAATGGTAGGGGAAACACTGCGTAATAATCTTTTGTCTTTGGAGATAATGTGAAAGATTTCATTTCGTACTTCTGTCACGTTAAGAGAAGTGCGCAATTTCAGTGAAACAAGAAATGCAGCTCTTTTTTTTTTACTTCTGCACTAATCTGTGTAGTCAGCTCTCTGCTGTCTGACACTTCTCTGTCCTTTTATGGGTTGAACAAATCTACAAGCTGAGTTTACATAGGGAGTGCGTGAGACAAAACAAGCTGTGTCATGTTGTTCAGAGAGCTACTTGCAGGTTAAGTTTCATAACGGTCACCTGATACCAGCCCTGTCACAGCACCGCCTCACTGAGTTTTAAACAGCATGTATGCTGATAGTTGGTGTCTAAGATTTCACTCTCTTTTAATACAAATGTGCACTATATAAAGACATGTCATCTAAAACATGGTGACCACCAATAGAGCTGGTGTGAGCAATCACTAATCAATTGTTAGATTAGGTTTTAACAAGACCACTTCAAAGATGAAAGGAGCATGTTAACATCAAATATTTGTACTAACAAGAACTTAATCAGTCAACAGTTTCCATCTCGTATTGATGAGCTCAGACGTGGTCGCGTTTGAAGAAAGTGCTGTGTCGTCACCTTTGCGGACCACATTCCCTTATCATGCAGTTTAAAGAAGACAGGAGGTCACATGTTTGTCATGCTTCCTCTGACTGTCCCGACTATAAAAGTTTTGTAGACCGAAGGACTCGTTAACCTTTCATTCAGACAACTTCATCAGTTTATTTGATCTGACCTCACAGATGATTACTTTACTACTTATTAAAACAGAAGAGAGGCAGCTGGCGCAGGTGTCCTAGCGGTTAGGTTGGGCTCCATGTACAGAGGCTGTAGTCCTCAAATCAAGCGCCCTGTGGTTCCTTTCCTGCATGTCGGACCCATCCCTCTCCCTGGTTTATAAAGGAAAACAGCCCAAAAATACGTCTTTAAAAAAATGAGAGAAGCAGAAGTGCTTCATTTGATTGCATGCAGACACATGTGAAATAATCTCAAGGGAGAAAGTGGTTTGGGGCGCCAAAAAAGGTGTCTCTAGGCCCCCGCAGGTTTGTTTTTCAACATGTTGAAATAATAGAAATCATAAAGGGTGGATGACCTAGAACTTGAACTCAAGGGAATAATCAAAATGTTCTCTCAACAGTTCTTACTGTCCAACAACAAGTCCCCCTTTTCTCTGAATATTTAGTTGGGTAAAATAGTTGTAGCAGTAATAGAATATATGTATATAATATCATATATAATAACCCTACTGATGTCTTTTGTGTTACAGATGGGCTGACATGTTCTCAGCGAAGGGCTGCAAAGACGACCCTGAACATAAATTCTCTCATCCATTTGTGCAGGTAAAGAAATTCAAAACTGCAGGTGACTGTACTGTTTAGCGTCACTTAAACATCACAAACACATCAAACATCAATAAAGGCACCAAGTGCATCAAAGTCACAAAGAAACTCCCAACACAGTCATTTGTGGGGAGGTGGGGGGGGTAAAACATTTCTGAACAAAGAGATTAACTCATTTTGGCTCTCTTTATTTTTCTCTTTTTTGCTGATTTTAGCATTTTAAATTGACAATGAACATTGACTGAAAGGTCACAAATGCCTTCAGAGGAATCATCAGGGTCACTGTACCCGAAAACAACCTGACATTTATCAAGCTTTAGATGCCCACAGCCAAGTCACAAAAAATACTCGCCCTGTGTTTTTAGAGTGTTCAATCTTGTGATAATGACTTGAAATATAATAAAACAACATATAAACAGGGAATAATTGCTGTAACTAAGGGAGCGGCAGTAGCTCAGTCTGTAGGGACTTGGGTCGTGAACCGGTTCAAGTCCCGATGCGGACCAAATCTGGAAATTGTTCTAGTAGCTGGAGCACAACTTCTAACTCCTGAGCATGTCTGCCAAGGTGCCATTGAGCAAGGCACCATCCCCCCTCCCCTCTCCCCCCCCAGCCCACTGTCTCAGGAGTGCTCGCCCCATTAACAAGATATATCTTCTTCTTAACTTACAGTTTCTACGTCATTCTGCTGGGTTTTTTTTATATTTCACACAATACCTGTCATCATCATCCAGGGACAACAGATGGAAATTTGTGTGCTTTCAACTTTTCCTGGAATTTTATGAACTTGAGATGATGATTTCCAAGTGGCTTGAACAAAATTTAATTTTCTGTTGAATGAAGTCAGTATCTGATTTCTCAGCTGATGTGTCCAAAGTCACAAGTAAAACATGATCTGTTTCCTCTCTCTCTCTCTCTCTCTCTCTCTCTCTCTCTCTCTCTCTCTCTCTCTATCGCTGTGTCTGTGTGTCTCTCTTGACTCTTCCCCTCCAGGCGGTGGGGATGTTTCTGGGTGAGTTGAGTTGTCTTGCCGTTTTCTACCTTTTACTTTGCCATGACAGACGTAGTCCCGAGCCAAAGATGAACCCGGGCCAGAGCTTCAACCCTCTGCTCTTCTTCCCACCTGCCATGTGTGACATGACGGCCACCTCCATTATGTATGTTGGTAAGTGACCATTACAGTTCCTCTTTCTCCCTGTGTCTCTCACTTGTTTAAAGTGCTCATAGGTTGTTGTGCAAATTGAGGAAATAATATGTTGTACGACCTGGTCTATCCTGCCCTTTTACATTAACATTATGAATTAGCGTTGATGGCTGCAAAAGCCTGTTCTTGCACTCTGTAGCTGCCACTAACTCTAAGGAGAAACAAGACACAACCTGCTACTTACAGAAGGCCATCAAGACAATCGTCTCCTGTTACTGTCCTTTGCTTCAGTATTCGCAGAAAGGTCATGCATCAGCCAACAAGAGTTAATGTTGGAGTTGATTTTTAGCCGTTGAGAAGGGAATGATATCACTCAGTTTGGGCTTTGATTTTGAGAATACTAATTTTGCATCATGTTGCTTCAGCCTCCCACATCCATGCATCCTCATCCTGGTACCTTACAGTTTGGCTGTTGCCGCTACTCATACTTCAGTCTCACTGATTAGCATGTTAGCTCAAGTTACATTTTGTATCAAGCAAAATGTATGTCTTTATGAGATTTTCATTCAAAACAGACCTTTTGTTTAAATACAAGATATAGTTGTTCATCTTATCGTGTCCCATTCTTTCTAATTGACTAGAAGGAAGTCAAAGTGTTTAAAGCAAACAAAAACTCAGGTCTCATGAGGTTAAGTTCCATCAGTGCAGCCTAACAGAATAGATTATTTTCTTTTTACCTTAGTTCAAATAGAGATAACTGAGTCTCAGATAAAGTTGTTTTTCTCTGTGTTATGCAGCAAGTCCAAATAATTTAAGTGTCACGTCAGAGGGAACACATGATTCTTGATGGTTAAAAACATTTCAAAGGAAACTTTTGTTCGCTCTGACAAAACTTTGATTTTTTTTTTTAATCTTCAGCTCTTAACATGACGAGCGCCTCGAGCTTCCAGATGCTGCGAGGAGCTGTCATCATTTTCACTGGTCTGCTCTCGGTGGCGTTCCTCGGGCGGCGTTTGATACCCAGTCAGTGGCTCGGCATCTTCATCACCATCGTGGGTCTGGTGATCGTCGGTGTCGCCGACTTTTTCAGCGGGAACAGAAGCTCAGAGCACAAACTCAGTGATGTCATCACGGGTATGATGGATTATTTTATTATATCAATGATGTATATGTTGTCACTTTTAAAACATATAACTCATTTAAAATGTTGCACAGTATTTTTTTTTTAAACCTTGTCTGTTTTTTCTTGTCCTGCAGGAGACCTTCTGATCATCATGGCTCAGGTCATTGTCTCAGTGCAGATGGTTCTGGAGGAGAAGTTTGTCTACAAACATGACGTCCATCCTCTGAAGGCTGTTGGGACTGAAGGTACAGGAATACATCTGCAGTTAAATTTTATGAAAACTTGGGGGATTAAGGTCAGTCCAAGAGGAAGAGAGTGGACTTAAAGGCTCTGATGTTGGTGATTAATCAGGCCTGGACCACTTGTGGCCTGTAACTCATTAATACAATTTGGTAAAGTGTTTAGCTGGACTGTCACTGGTCTAAATCAATGTAGCCATGTGGATGAGGAAAGCAAAGGACAACAAACAACAACAACAACAATAACAACAGATTGTTGTCCAATAGATACTATTCACATTCTTTGAGGAAGAAATAACCATAATATACTATTGAAATGTTCTTTAAAACGATTTCCCACAATAATTTTTTTGTCGTAATAGTGACATTAGATTTAAATTACATTCAGGGACAAAGAAAGAAAAGAGTTCAGCCAAAGTCACTAATTTATAAAGGTTAATGTACAGCAAGTGGCTTGTTGGATCGCTAGATGGCCTAGTGGTTATGTTGCGTGCCTGCATGTACAATAATCCTCAACGGGGCGGCAGTAGCTTAGTCTGTAGGGACTTGGATTGGGAACTGGTGGGTCCCTGGTTCAAGTCCCAATGCGGACCAACATAAGGATAAGGGTCTCGTCGTTGGCGAGATGCCATATAACTTCTTGAGTACTGCCGGGGTGCCCTTGAGCAAAGCACCGAACCCCCAACCATTTGATGATGTTATTGACCTAAATTATTTTTGTCTTTTAAGTTCACTGTTAGCAACATTGGTGTGGCACTGGACTGGTTAATTTCCTATCTGTGGAACAGGTGTTTTTCTATAGAGCTTGGAGATGATTCTTCCTCTTGTGCTTCTCTTTTCTTGTGAGGTTCCCCAGGGCTCTATTTTGGGCCTCCTTCTTATTTACTGTTTACAGGCTGCTCCTAGTGCAAATCCTGTGTAGGCACGGCATAGACTTTCACTGTTAGGCTGATGACACTCAACTGTAACCCCTGATAAATAAACCACTGATCTTTCTAATATATGCAAGAAGTCAGCAACCTCTGGGTCATGCCCACATTGTCTCAGACCTATGTTTTGTTACCCTGGTGACCAAAGTAATGCAGTCCTGATTTGCTTCACTTAGACAATTAACCAAAATCAGCGTGTACTCCTTTTTACAGCTTTTTATTGGTATATTTGTTTAATTGATTTTGGGGTCATATTTTCCTGTTTATTTCTCTTTTTATTTGTTTTAATATTTGTGGATTTGTATATTTGTTTGCTATGTAAATACATTTATTATTATAATTGTTATTATTAGTATTAGTATGTGTATCTGAATCAAATACAGCTAAATAAATCTCTTTGAAGATGTGAAAAAAGGTTTCAAGTCTTGATTTTGAAAATATTAAGTCCTTTTTTTCCTTTCCCCCAGGTTTCTTCGGGTTCATTGTGCTGTCTCTTCTCCTCATCCCCATGTATTTCATCCATGTGGGCGGGTTCAGCGACAACCCTCGGCAGGTCCTGGAGGACGCTCTGGACGCCTTCTGTCAGATCGGCCACCAGCCTCTCATCCTGCTGGCTCTGCTGGGAAACACGGTCAGCATCGCTTTCTTCAACTTCGCCGGCATCAGCGTCACCAAAGAGATCAGCGCCACCACCCGCATGGTGCTGGACAGCCTGCGCACGCTCGTCATCTGGGCGGTGAGCCTGGCGCTGGGCTGGGAAGTGTTTCACGGCCTGCAGGTGCTCGGCTTCCTGGTGCTGCTGATTGGAGCCGGGCTCTACAATGGACTGCACCGCCCCCTCCTGGAGAGGATACCGTGCTGCGCCGGTTTAGTGAGCACAGAGGAGGAGATCAGCCCAGGAGAGAGGGAGAGGCTGCTGGATGCTGGCAGGGTGCAGGTCGCAGATGACAGTTAAAACTCATAGATGCTGATTATGATCATATGCTGGTTTTTTTTTTATTGTTTTTATTTTCTTACCTTAGATTTTAACTGACCTGACACAATCTTTTTTTTAATATGTGGGCATGCACAAACTCTCTTAAAGAGTATAATACAATACAATAAAGTATTGTGTTAAAGGCACAGTTGTGTCTGTTTCTTTCCATTGAAAAAAAAACAGACACAAAGGGAAGTCTGCTGGAGCTTTTATATGAATTTACATGGTTTTAGAAAAGGAAAACTTTTGAACAACTGTGATGATTTAAGTCCTGTCTCCCCTTTTGCCCCAGACCTTTTTCATATTTTTTATTTGTTAAAAAAGAACTTGAACGGCTTTAGTGCTGACGTGTATGAAAAAGACTTTCATGCTGGATGGAAATTAATGCCAAGTTTAATTGATTTTCATTGTTTTGTGATCCATTTTAAGAAGATTTTTTTTTTTTTTAAGTGTCGCAGACCGAGCAGTGTGGTTGTTGCCAAAGTGTTTTTACGTCACTCACTGAATGCACTACAGAGATCAATGTCACAGGAGCTCAACATTTTATTTGTAGAATAATTGGTTCAGTACAGAATCTGATGTGTTGCTGTTTTAAAAGAATCCCTCTGTATATTTTCTCTCTGACACTTGATTTGTTTTGATTTATATGTACAGATGTATAAAAAACAGTTGGAGCACCAAGTGATTTGTACTTGTTGAAGAAATCTATTTAGTGATTTCGGGTACTGGCTGTAAGAAATAAGAAAACAAAAGGGAACTTTCTTTAAAACTCAGTTGCTGAACAATGTAACAATGTTTTGATGATGCAAATGTCATAATGAGTAGAGACATTTTTTAAAATACACTCGTGAAACCACTCACGAAGTCTTGAACCATGTTTGTCCTGCATGACTAGAGAGGTACAGTTTTGTGTTTTCAGCAGAAGTAATAGGTCCGTTAAGTTCTTAAAAATAGGCTCCCCCCTCCACCCCCACACACAAAATGTCTAATGATTTTTCTTTAAACACCTATGATGTGAAAACACCAATGCATTAAAGGCAGGGTTGGTCATTTCCTCCACATACACTTTTTTAAGATTTTGGTGGAAATTGTCTTTGGGTCCAGACATACATTAATAATTCTTATGCTCTGAAAAAGGAACAAAGAAAATCTCTCATCTGTAGCAGTTGTAAGCCTGTAAAAACCGGAGTTGGAGTTTATACGGTGACTTTGACTTTGTCGTCGGCCATTGTGAGTAGTAAGTTTTTTTGAACATGTATTATGATACAGTTTAGTGTTTAGTTATCGCTGAATGTGACACGAGACGACGTAGTTTCTACACAATGCGAGCGGTGAGCTGAGACCCCCTTGTGGAGCAAAGGCGCTCGTGTCTGTAAGTGAGGGGGCGTGGCTTTTGAGGGGATGGGTGCAGACGTAGCACTGAGGAAATGGTAGTTTCACAATCATGCTAGTTTTTGAAAATTACCAACCCTGCCTCTGAGGAATGATGAAGTTGAATTCAAAGCTAATTGGTAACCTTTCACTTTAAATAACACTTCTCTTTTCATTGTAACAACACAATCTCAGACAAAGATCAAGACGAAAGTATGACAAAGTCTGACATTCAGTAGGAACAGAAAAGATCAAACCTCCAGCTAAGTGAAGTGAAACACCAGTCGTCGGTTCAGCGTCTGCAGCCCCCACAGCAGCAGCTGACACCTGCCGGCACTTCCTGAGTTGACCCAACATCCTTCCCAAAGAGCGACCTCATGCTTTACTAGAGGTCAAAGGTTAAACCCCAGAGTCCCCCGAGACTTACGCACGCAGGACCCAGGCCGACCCCGGTAAGAGGATGAAAGAGAGTGTGTTAGTTGACTGAAGACGCGTTGATGTTTCCTAATTATCCACATGAACATATCAATAAGTTAAAATCACTACTGATACACTTTAATCAAGAGCGACTGATGCATTTTCAGAATGGATTTGAGTATCTACCCTCAGTACACATTTATTCAAGCTAAGAATTAAATTAACAATAAAGAAATAAAATAATGTCTTTGTTGAAATGAGTAAGTCAGTTTTCTTAGGGGGCATTTATTCATACTGAAACAATGTCAGACGTTTATTTTACTTAACTAGTGGGCTGTTAGCTTAATAGAGAAGAAGACTGTGAGTCCTGAATTATTTTAATAAAAAAAAATATATATAATTATTTTAATCGTTGAGCTTCTTTGCTCTTTCTTTTTTTCTGTAAAGCATGTAGCAAAATCAATTTGCAAGTACAGCTCTCTCATTATGCTATACACACACACACACACACAAAGAAAGTCGTAAGCAAAGACACAGCATGGCCGCTAGGTGGCAGCATTTAACAAGGAAAATGAAGCAAAACTTGTGTGCGGCTGCTGGTTCCGGTCCTCGGTTAAGTACTGAGTCAAGAAGACATTTCATTAAGTGGTGTTCTGTGAAATAGTCTAGAAGCAAAATTATATATTTATTACATATTGTAAAATTGAAATGGTTATAATTACACCATGTGTTATTTAGTGACACACAACCCTCATAAAAAAGACCATCAGCAACTTAAAACAACTGACGACATGCAATTATAATGAAACAAGTTGAGACATCGTTTATGTATTAGTATATGTTTTAAATTATTTTATCTTTTATTATATTATTTTCTATTTTACTATTTGATATTATTGTTTTATGATTTTATGTGATTTATTTCATTTTATTAGATCGTTACTTTAGGCCTATAGAATAATTGCAATTAGAGTCATGTGTAAAAGTGACAAAGGCTTGTTTTATACCAGTTACAAAACAAACAGATGTCTTTCTTGTAGAGACAGCTTCACTTTCAAAAGGCGGCCCTGTGATGTGAAGGCTGTGAAAAAAATCCAGTGTTCATAAAGCAACATAGATGTGAATCAACATATTTAACACTAATGTTAGTAGAGCCGAACTTATCATTTGAATCAAGCTACAGCTGCTAACAAAAAATACACATAAGATACAATACGTCACAGCACTGCAGAAGACACTCCTGGGACAGCAGAGGGGATTTTAAAGTTTCCAGTAGTTGCTTTTTTTTCTTGACAATTTTCTTCCATATGTGAAACTGTTCACCCCTGAGACAGACAGCTAAAAATACTGCTAAAAATACTGACATATATATAGATGTATTTATTTTACGTCTTTGTTTCAGACACACTATTCCACTTCAACGTTAGAAAAAACATTTAGCAGCCTGTATGCACAACAGTCATTTTAAACAGGCAATACAATATTTACATCATCACGCACAATCTCCTGATTTGTATATAATAATAAGTTCAGAGCGCTGTTTACAGGAGATGAAACTTCTCTGCTTTGTTACTCCAGACCTGCTTCTGTTTGGAGTTTCTGGGCTGATGAATTGTAACTTTCCAACGGTGCGGCAGCGTCAACCAGGGAGCTGTGCAGGCTGAGATGTTCTGCACTGCATCAGCCTGCTATGAATGTGCGGCCACAAAAAAATGTTATTCTTTTATTCATATATTACAACTCAGTCTAACTCTGAAGCTCACGTGTTCTGTCTTTTATTTGCACCCTTTTAGCACAATATGAGGCCAGGTATTCAATTCAAGACATCTAAAACTGTCCTTTTACATGTTATCTTTTTACCTTGGAATACATTCTATAAGGCTTGGAGATGATTCTTTCTCTTGTGCTTCTCTTTTTTGTGGGGTACCCCAGGGGTCTATTTTGGGCCTCCTCTTATTCACTGTTTACAGGCTGCCCTCGGAAATGTAGATCTTCAAACATAAGTGACATTGATAACTTTATGTTGTGATGTTAATATGCAGGGTCTGGAGAAGCAGCATCGGGTCTAATGGTTTATAATTCTGACGTCTTGTGTTTCCATCATTCTATTCTCCTGCTGCTGCACTATTTAGCTTACAGTACCTGTGATTTAACCGTGTGTACGTCTCCACACTGGAGCTGTGGACCTGCTGCACAAGAGGTGACTTAAATCTGTTGCAATGTAAACACATGGCTTTGAGTCGCCTTCATATGTGAAAGGTTCCATTAAAGCAGCTCCTTCAGCTTGTTTACAGCTGAGGGTACCCGGGGGTGAGTGTGATTAGTCTGGCACTCCAGAGTCTCAGCTAATGACCACTTCAGGTTTCAAACTTTGACTTTGCGGGATAAAGAGCTTTTAAAAAACCTGCTACCACAAAAGGAAACTCAGGCCTGTGAATGGTTTTAGATTCAGTCTAGCAGCAGTCATTGAGCTCTGTTGTGAAAAGGGAGTTAAGGAAAAGTTCTGTCCAAGGAATTACCAAAAAGTTATTAGTGTGAAAATATTAGCAGCTGCTCACGATATGCAATCATTTACCTCGGAGAGTTTTCAAGTCATCACCTGTTTCTTAAAGTCCACACTGAGTCAGACACATTTACAGCTTTGAACGAGAGGGGGAAACTATCAACACTTCTATTCAAAGTGAAATCACACCCATCATGCTGTGTCGTATATTTTTTCTTTCTTCAACATAATGGAGACAAAGCAGTACTGTAAGCTGAGTGAGTTCAGTTACTCAAGTATGGAAGTGCAATAAAAAGATGGCGTACACTTTCTTTATGTTACATTTCAAAAGGGAGATTGGCTACTTTTCATTAACTCTTCTATAGGTTTTATTGTTTCTTTATTGTGCAATGATTGTTAGTTATGTTTCACATATTACAATTATCTCTGCATTTCAACAATCTATAGCTCTATTTGTGTTAATAATAATAATAATAATAATAATAATAATAATCACCACCGCATATTTAACTTCATAGTGCAAATGTATATTTTACATCTTTTATGTGAAAATTAGCAGAGTAGAACAAAACCCATTATGGCCACTAGAGGGAGCTGCTGAACATTTAGTGCCTTAAGTTACTCATTAAAGTTGTTTTAAGTTTTATGGTTAAATCTTTGGCACTGATGAAAACTCTGTGACAACATTCAAACACTGATTGTACAAAGAGTCATGTACTAATAACAGGACTGAAACTAGTAACTTTCTTTAAGCTGTAGAAATAAAAACATTTTATTTTCTCCTTAGAAGTGTCACAGTTTAGGGGCGCCGGGGCACGAGTGGCTAGGACGCGTGCCCCTTGTACAGAGGCTGCAGTCCTCAAAGTGGGCGAACTAGGTTCGAATCCGACCTGTGGCTCATTTACTTCAGGTCATTCCACTCTCTCTCTCCCTGATTTCCGACTCTATACACTGTCTATCTCTACAATAAAGTGTGACGGTCACTGCCCTTGAGCCAGGTTATGAGAAATGGCATAAAAATCACAGAAATAAATCTTGCAAAAAAAATGTCACAGTTTAGAATTTGTTGCATTAAAGATCAAATAGTAAAACATTTACATGCAGTACACTTTATCTGCTCCCCTATATGTCTTATTTTTATTAATTATTTAATTCAAACATTTGATACTTTGCATGTTTACTTAATGTCTATGCATCAAAGATGACTTTATTTTCATGGATCCTATTTCTCTTATCTGATAAAACCAGCTTTAATTTGAACTTGTACAATGTCGTTCATGTTATAGATCATAATAAGAGGACAAAGAAGCTCCACTTCATCAGAAGATGCTACAGTAATATTGCTTAAGATAAATAAAGATTTATTGTGAGGCTCACATGGGCCATTTTTGACCAGTATGTACTTCATTGTCATTTGAATGATAAAACGTCTGTATTTTCCTTAAGTGCAGTTTTGATGCAGGAGTTCAGCATAAAATGAGATAAAAATTATATTTAAATTTTTACTGCTAACAACTTGCAGTAAGTCATGTTTCATAGAGAAAACCCAACATGACAGATCCCCAGAGCTCACAGACACACACCTCTATCTTATACCTACAAATAAAAAAACACAACAGAGTTCATGTGCAGAACAGACAGAGTTCAGTATTTGTAATATGTTGGATGTATTGAGGATCACATAAACGGGACGCTCTTGTTTTGAACACGTCCCTCTCTGCTCTCTGTAAAAGATGGCTGGGTGCCATACAGAAGGCTGTGTACAATGGCCCAGGTC